TTGCAATTGGAGAAGGGTTATGGGCATATTGTTAATCATTCTATACCTTATACATTCTGAACTGTCGACAGTTTATTCAAAAAGCGAGAAAGCGCCCAAATATGATAGAATGTGACCTGAAAAATATAATTCCAAGAAGTTGAGACAATTATGATAAAGTGACGAAAATGTGCAAGAAAGGCAATCTCTAGGTAAAATGTGGAGATACTGATTGGGGGTAGTGGTCACCAAAGAACAAAATCTGCCGCCTCGTTAAAGATGATATGAAGAGAGCAGACTGAAAGTTAGCGGTCAATATCAATCAATACTGCTCTTTTCTATACATTTGTTTTCAATATTCTCAGCCGAATCGGCCAGTTGTTCTCAATTATAAATAACTCTGTTTTGATGGAAAATGTGCATTGTATTCCAGATAGTTCAAAGACGACTAGGTGCCATACTTCTGCGCGCGCCATAATCGTGCATATTTCCAGGAAAATACTTTGAAAATTTGGGCTGGGGTTGTTATATTATACAGATTATTCCATTCTGTGCGATTTTCTACAAAATTCTTGACAACTAGTAATTGATAACATTATAAAATGAATACTCATTAATCACTCCATTCCTCAAAATACAAATCAATGTAATCCCATAGATAGTGAAATAGACATGTGAAAACTCATATTCTGAGAGCATTTTCCCTTTCCAATCTTTCTCTTATATTGACTTTTGCTTCCTTTTGTTCGCGATTTGCAACAGTAAGCAAAGAAAGTCCCACGTCGGCATTCGGAACCTTTGGGACAGAAGCTGTGTTTGCATTCCTTGCCAAGTACTGCACGCTGTAATGAAGCTCCAATGTTGCGAGGAGTGGTCTTCAGAATGCTATGCCTTCGGAGTTATGATTTTCCACTCAATAAAATGATTTCAATGACATGCGCTCTTACATGGTTTCCGCCGTACTCTTCCTCAACAACCTCTTTTTCACCACAGTTTGGCTTCAAATTTGCATTGAATTCTCCTGAATGAATGGGAAATTTTCAAGACCTTCTTTAAAAGAATGAATGAA